GTAGAACAAGAAGCAATGGGTGGAATCTAATCAAGGAGAGAAGCAACTTAGAACTGAGGAGAAATTTCCTGACAGTTAGAACAATTAATCAGTGGCTCCAGAGGCTGTGAATGCCCCAACACTGGAAGTCTTTAAGAAGAGGTTGGACAATCATTTGTCTGAAGTGGTGTAGGGTTTCCTGCTACACAGGAGGTTGGACTAGAAGACCTCCAAGGTCCTTTCCAACTCTGTTATTCTATCTTGCAAACAATGCCTGAAGAATGGTCTGGTGGGCTGCTTGTTGTTGCAGCCGCCGCCATCACAGCACCATGATGTTCAGTTGTCTCTTCCCTTCTCCCTTCCCCTCCTCCACCATCCAGAGCGTTTGAACATGAAAGATGATCTGATCGTGCAAAGTCTCAACGAGAAGCAGCAGATCTACCAGGAGATGGCAGATGTGAATGGCTTTGAGGACCTGGGTGCTGGCTCCCGCTTCCGGTTGATCAACAGAGTAGATTCTCCAGAGACCCTGCAGGGGGAGCCCATCCTCAAGCAGGCAGTGATAGAAGGTGGGTGCACTGCAGATGAAAGAACAGGGGAGAAATTATATGATAGGACCACGTAATACGGATAGTCCTTAAGCTATGACCACAATGGATCCCAAAGTTTCCATTGCAAAGCAAGACAGTTGTAAAATTAATTTCGCCCCGCTTTACAATCTTTCTTGCCACGATTGTTAAGTGAATCACTGCAGCTGTTGAGTTAATTAATTAATTTGTTTATTTATTGAATTTATATTGCTGCCTATTTGCACATGGCGACTTACAGAATATAAAACCTCATTTAAAATAATAAAACTAATTAAAAAGAATCAAACAAGTTATTAATATAATGTAATAAAATCCCCCCACCCCGGCAACAGCACATCACATGTGCCATTTAATGGGCTCCAACCTGCTCCGGGTTCCCCAGGTCCATTGGCAGAACCAGGTCTTCAGCACCTTCCAGAAGAGTGTTAGAGTGGGAGCCATTCTAACCTCTGGGGAAATGATGTTCCAGAGAGAGGGAGCCACCACCAAGAAGGCCCTTTTTCTGGGTCCTACCAGGTGTATCTCCTTCGGGGATAGGACCCGCAGCCTTCCCTGCCTCCCCACTCTAATGGGTCGGGTAGATGTGACCAGCAAGAAACGGTCCCTCAGATAACCTGGTCCCAAGCCATGCAGGGCTTTAAAGGTGACAACCAGCACCTTGAGAGAGAGCCATATATCCCTTGGGGATGGAACCTGCAACATTCCCTGGCTCCCCACTCCAAAGGAGCGAGTAGATGTGACCGGCAAGAGACGGTTCCTCAGATTACCTGGTTAATATGGTTGTTAAGTGAAACTGGCTTCCCCATTAATTGTCAGAAGAGTGTGAAAGGGGGTTACATGGCCTGTATTCAACATGTACAGTGGAGAGCATAATTGTTCACAGCAATAAACATCTTCTCCTCTTTTCCTACTCAACTGCCTTCTTGGCTTCTAGTGGAGAGCCTTCAGAACCTGATCTTCACCCAGCTGGCCAGTGCAAGCTCTCATCCTGAAGATTCCAGTGGGTCTGGGTTGCTGAGGCGGGCTGAGACTTTTGGAGGATACGACTATGGCATGACAGGTCTGTCAAAAGGAGGAACGGAGGAAGGAGCATGAGATCTGATATAGGAATGAGGGACCTGCGATTACTGCTCCTACTGCAGACAGAATGCCATTCAGAGGTGATATTCAGCAAGTTCTGACCAGTTCTAGAGAACCGGTAGTGGAAATTTTGAGTACCGTATTTTTTGGAGTATAAGATGCACCTTTTTCTCTCAAAAAAGGGTGAAAATCTGGGCGCGTCTTATACACTGAATACAGATTTTTTGCCTCCCGAAACCCCGCTTCCTTCACCAAAATGGCCATGCATAGCTTTTAGGAGGCTTTCAGAGTGCTCCTGGGAGCTGGGGAGGGCAAAATTTTTGCCCCCCCAGCCCCCAGGAGCACTCTATAAGCCTCTTAAAGGCTTTCCATGCCCATTTTTTGACAAAAAATGGACCATTTTTGGGAGGTTTGCAGAGTGCAAAGACTTTAAAAAAATGGCCTCTTCAAAACCTTGGTGCGTCTTATACTCTGAAAAATATGGTAGTTCGGAGAACCGGTAAATACCACCTCTGACTGGTCCCGCCCCCCCATCTATTCTCTGCCTCCCGAATCCTAGCCGATCAGGAGCAAATGGAGATTTTGCAGTATCCTTCCCCTGCCACGCCAACCAAGCCACACCCACAGAATCAATAGTAAAAAATTTTGAATCCCACCACTGATGCTATTTTATAGAAATTTTTTAAATCCTGCCAGTGAGCCCAGTTTGTACTGTTTTAGTCTCTGCAGGAGGTCTGTCAGTGTTGGAATGATCTTGCGTTGGTCTTTTTCCGCCCCTAAGTAATGTTATATGTTGCCCATCTCATTATCCAAAGCAACACTGTGTGATTTACAATACAATAAAAGCAGAAATATAAAACATATATAGTATAAAAGTATAAAAACAAATTTAGAGAGTTTAATTTCTATGTAACACAGGGCAAATAGATTAAAGAGAGAAAAAAGAAGATAGTTTTAGGGATTCTGAATCTTGCAGTCTAAACCCATCCATGGGTGAAGGGTAATGAAAGCTTTCCCAACTGAGTTTGGGTAATCTGTCCTGTATGCCAATGGGTGCCTTTTATTTTTCAGCTGGTAGCTTCAAGAAGAAAGTCTGTGGTGGAGAGCAGCGGGTGCCAGACCCGCAAGGCGACCCAGCCAATTCAGAGCAAGTGCAACAAGAACGCCCACCCGCTGGAGAGGAAGGGCTAGGTTTGGTAGGTGGAATTTGCTCTCCAAAAATCTCTGTATTTATTCCCTAACTATGTTGGGAATAGTGATGGCTACGAGCTTCTTTTTTCCCAGGAAGTGTTTAGCTCAATTTGAAAAACATCTGGCTTTTCCTTTCTCCTCTTTAGCAATTGAAAATCTGGAAGGCATATATGTTGGAATGAAATAGTATACTTTATAGGTAATATCATCAATGCTAGGAAGTGTGGGAGCTGCGTCCTGTTTATTATAGTAGGTTTCCCTACCAGTGTTGGTGAGGCTATGTTTTCTTCTCCCTCCTTGATCATGGTATTGTTTTCTGCTTGATTGTATGGTGTTAATCCCTGCTTATTTGGTTGTTGGAAAGGGTATGTTTCACACTCTTTGTTTTTTTATTCTTAGCGTTTATATTCTCTTTTGAATAGTATGTATGTAAAGGCGGCTTATATACATACTATTCAATGTGCCTGTTGATAGCAGATTTGTCTAAATGCCCAGTTTCCAGAAATTCCCCTAGCATTTTTGGATTTAGCTTGATCTAGAATGCTTACAGTTTTTCATTTGAAACCATGATTGAGTCTGTCCATGTGTTGTGAGATTGAGGAGTTTTCATTGTATCTTCTGACTGCTATTGATATTCATGAATGCACTCTGCTAGTATTTTGCTTCTCTGTCCTACATTGTGGCTCTTAGAGATCTTACATTTATTGTAGACTCTTGTTTTTCCTTCTTTGGTTGCTGAGTCTTTTGATTTACTTAGAAGGTGTTTTTTTTAAAATGTAAATATGTTTTATTTNTGAAAATCTGGGTGTGTCTTATACACTGAATACAGCATTTTTTGCCTCCCAAAACCCTGCCCACTTCACCAAAATGGCCATGCATTGCCTTTAGGAGGCTTATAGAGTGCTCCTGTGGGCTGAGGAGGAAGTGAAAAATGGGCCATGTTTTGCTCGTTTTGGGGGGGGGAGCCCCCAGGAGCATTGTACAAGCCTCCTATTCATGCCCTTTCTTTGAAAAAAAAACAGGCCGTTTTTGGGAGGTCTGCAGAGTGCAAAAACTTGCCTCTTCAAAATCTTGGTGTGTCTTATACTGCAGTGCGTCTTATACTCCAAAAATGCGGTAATACAATTTCAGACAAATGGTTTACCAATCTCCTTAAAAAGCTCCAGTGATGGAGCACCCACAACTTCTGAAGGCAAGCCATTCCATTGAATAGGCACCCAACTCTTGTCTTCTATGCAATAGTCCTTCAGTATTTCAACAGTAAACACAACCAGCTATTTGACCCAACTTAGCCTCCCTTGCCCAGTATCTATCCAGCCAACAGCAATTCTCTGGGGCTTCAGACAGAAAAGCGTCTTTCCCAGCTAGGCAGAGATAATCAGAGTCAAGCAGGGATCTTTGGGATACTTTTCCTACTTTCCCTCTTCCATTCTTTCCAGATTAATCTGATTTACAAGTATAAGGAAGAAATACTATAGATGTTGTCTATGGAGATTCTCAGTCATCCAGGTCATGGTTGTCCCAAAGGTGCTTTTTCAAGAGGCAACTGAACTTTCTGGGTTTTCTTTGAAGACATTTTGCTTCTCATCCAAGAAGCTTCTTCAGCTCCAACCAAATAGGAATCCTTCCATTCCCCACTATCCAGTCAGAGCAGAAGAAGCTTCTTGGATGATAAGTGAAACGTCTTCAAAGAAAAAACAGAAAGTCCAGATGCCTCTTGAGAAAAGCACCTTTGGTTCAACCATGACCTGGATGACTGAGAATCTCCATACAACTGTTGCTCTTTAGGATTGCCATAGATGGACTAATGATGATGTATCTTGCATCACAGGACTCAAAGCCACCAGTGATTTCCTTGCAAAAACTGATAGTCCGAGAAGTAGCCAACGAGGAACGAGCCATGTTCTTAATCATTGCTTCCAAGAAAGGACCAGAGATGTATGAGATTCACACCAACTCCAAGGAGGAAAGGAATATCTGGATGACGCAAATTCGCAGGGCGGTGGAAAAGTGAGCATATAAAATATGTTGTTCTATTTCTCTCCTGTATTGAGTTGGCATCAGATTCAGTGGCTCTTTCCATACCTGTTATTTTGTCATCATAAGGAAATACAAGTAAGGTAAAGTTTCCCCTTGCACATATGTGCTAGTCGTTCCTGACTCTAGGGGGCAGTGCTTATCTCCGTTTCAAAGCCGAACAGCCAGCGCTGTTCGAAGACGTCTCCATGGTCAAGTGGCCAGCATGACCACATCTAGCTGAAGGTGGCTCAATGGCTAAGATGCTGAACTTGTCAATCAGAAAGGTCGGCAGTTCGATGGTTCGAATCCCTAGTGCTGTGTAATGGAGTGAGTGCTCATTTCATGTCCCAGCTTCTGCCAACCTGGCAGTTCGAAATACAAGTAGTCCTTGGTTAATGACAATAATTGGAGTGCAATTTTTGTTGATAAGCAATCGGGTCATAAGGCATAATGTCTGGTGATTGCAACTGCTCCACGACAACAATCCCAATGGTAGCCATTGCCATCATTAAGCGAGGATCTTGCTTAATTAAGACCCAGGTGGCTTCCAAACAAGCTCTGCAACAGGCAGGAAAGCAATACCAATTAACACTTACATACTGCTTCATAGCCCCTTCGAAGCGGTTTACACAGTCAGCATATTGCTCCCAACAGTCTGGGTCCTCCTTTTACCCACCTCAGAAGGATGGAAGGCTGAGTCAACCTTGAGCCTCGTGACGATCGAACTGCTAAACTGCTGGCAGTCAGCACAAGAAGCCTGCAGTACTGCTGTCAGCCTCTGCTTTGCTGTTGCTTCGGCTGCCATGAAACGGGGAGGGAGAGCATGGTAT